AGTCATGCTGGCCACATGACCACAGAGACATCTTCGGACAGCGCTGGCTCTTCGGTTTTGAAACGGAGATGAGCACCAACCCCTAGAGTCTGGAATGACTAGCACATATGTGCGAGGGGAACCTTTACCTTTACCTTAAGCTAAATTGTGGACAGAAAAAATACTCCCACTGCTTTTCTCAGGGGAAAGCAGGAGGCACCGATCAGAGTGTGAGAATGGGATTGGAAAGACCAAATTCAGCCACAGAACTTGGCTAGGAAAATTTATGGATGTCCAAGGTCCTGCAGCTGTGTTAGATTTACATTCCCATTAACCCCAACTAGCATTAGCCAAAGCTCATCCAATGACTTTGTCATTAAATGGAAATCAAAATACTAGCCGCCCAGAGTCCCAAGGGAGTGGGCGGCATACAAATTGCATTAAACTAAACTAAACTAAACTAAACTAAACTAAACTAAACTAAACTAAACTAAACTAAACTAAACTAAACTAAACTAAACTTATTGTTGTGAACATAAGCCAGCATCCTAACTATTACATCATGCTTTTTGGTTGTTCTTTGAAGCCAGGGAAATGACAGCATCTAACTCAGTGTTTTTCAAACTCAGCCAGCCTGATGCTGGCTGGGGAATTCTGGGAGTTGAAATCCACACATAGTACTGTAAAGCTTAGAAAGTTTACTTTACTTTATTATCATTGCACCTCATACAATGAAATTAAATGCCATCTGCAGTGTACATCATACATAAGAGAACTATACAAATAAAAAGACACAGCCTTCACATTCAGTTCAATTCACAATTGAATTGAAAACCCCTGATACTTGCACTGTGCAGTATTCTTATTTCCTGTATGACCATTTTCTTTTAAGGTACTCCACGGGCACTTTCCATAGCAGAGACTTTATCTGAACTGATTAATGAGAGTAGTCATACAGTGATTCATTCACTTTTGACTCTTTTCTGGCAGAAAGACAAATATTATAATTACAGACTCCAGTCCTTTGCTTTTACCATTCAGGGTTGTTGTTTTTTAAAGCTTTTATTTTATTTTTTTTATTCTCTTCCCAGGCTCTCACTTAGCAAAATATAAACATTTGACTAAAGAAGAAAAAATCTCTTGGGATTCTCCCCAAAACACCCATTAAGTTGCACACTCAACAAGTGACTGATCTTAGGAGTCTGGCTGCTTTGTATTTTTCTTACTATCTCTGCTTACTCAGCCGGAAGAATTTAATCGCTCACTGGACAATCAGCAGATTTTACACAGCAGTCCTTGTAATCAGCAGCTCTTCAGGGAATGGTTTTTTTTTTCCTGCTCTGGAGCTGAGTGTGCAATCTTTAGAATATGCAGGTTCTCTACTCATTTCCCTCCTTCCTTTTCTGTTGAATTCCTGCTTGGGTTCTTTGCTTGCTTGCTGTGCTTTTATAGACTAGCTGATAACCGGGTATTTATTTATCCTCCCAACCCTCCTCCCATGAACGTCACCTCAATTTCTAATGTTGGATTTTCCCCCTTACCAGAGGGAGCCCCCTTGTGGAGTACTGTGAAGCTGTTACCCTGGCAACTCCTCAGCACTGTATAGTAGAAGCCATTTTAAGGCACAACAGGCTGTAGCGTAACAGAATACCCTCCCGAGGAGTGTTAGGGGTGTCTTACCCCCCACAGTATTTGTCTCCAGAGAGTAAGTCATCTGTGTACCAAGTTTGGTTGAAATTGCTCGAGACGTTCCAGAGTTATGCTGGAACATACACACATACATACACAGCCAGATAAATAGATAGATTAGATAGATTAGATAGATAGATAGATAGATAGATAGATAGATAGATAGATAGATAGATAGATAGATAGATAGAT